GTTTATAGATTTTCGTACTTGGCCCTTTTGAGGTATTGTAGGAGGCAATGGGTGTTGTGAAGTGTCTATTCATGCAAGCTATGCTCGTCTAATTCATGTGAAAATCATCCCTGTTGGGAACCGATCCACTATCCAGTCCATCGCTATCTTCAACCGAAGTGCTGAATGACTACTTCAACTTGACCATGACGTATGGGATCTCAACGTCCTCTTCCTTCTGATCTTCAGCTGTTATCTCGAAGATAACGTTCTTCTGGTGCTCCGGTACCGGCTTCCTGCTCACGTGCTCCACGAGCTTGCTCATACTGCCTTTTGTTAGTAACGCGGTGTTTACGAAGGGGAATCAATGAAACTTACGTAAGCGGCATCCTGTCCTTCAACTTGGATGGAGGATAGAATGATGCGTAAAGCAAACTGACACCAGAGCTTATCATCTGAATTGACAGGCCCTTCTTCTCGAAATGCGCCACGAAGTCCTTCAGGGGGATATCATCCACCTCGAAACGGTCCCATAGCTTATCGATCGTAACTTCGCCATCGTGCCCTTGGTATGTACCCTTCGGGCTAGCAATCGGCTCACTGAAACCAAAGAATGGCAGGGCCAAGTTGATGAAGCCGTTCTTGTATTGCTCAATGTCCGTCTTGCCGTCGATGATCTTGTACAGCTCAAGGTTGACGAGACCGGTGACCAAAGCCGTGGTGGTGGCAATGGCCGGGATGATCTTACCAGCAATAAACTTGGTCTTGTGTCGGTCAGCCTGCTCGATCTTGTAGTTCTCGGCACGAAGATTGCTGGCAGCAGTGATGAAGTCGATGTGGTGGTTGGAGTCATCATCCTTCTCAAACTCGACAGGCTCAAGCTTGAACCCAGCAAGAGACTTCGGTGCCGGCAATTGGCTGATAATACTGTCCAGCGACTCGTTGTCGTCGCCACCAGCCTGGTTGGCATTTGGATCTGGCTCCTTCTCGTCGGCCTGGATCTTCACTGTAGGGTCGGGCTGGAAGTCAGGAACGATCATATCGTTGAGAACTTCGACGTAGTGCTCCTTGGACGCATTTGGCTTGATGCCGTAGTTGAATGCGTGTAGGGTGGCAGCAGCTTCCACGTAGGTGAAGTGTGTTGGGTTTGAAGAGTCAAACTTGGATGGGTCCGGCGCGCGCTTGGGTCCCGACCAGAATGGCTGACCGGAGCCTGTCTTGGAGTCCTTGGGGAAGTTGTAGAGCAATTGCGCAATTGCGTGGTTGTAGTTCTTCTCGAACTGATGACGGGCCCAGATGATGCAGTCGTCAAACGACAACGGCTTCTCTGTGACCAAGAATTCCCGCAGGGTCTCCAAAGTCTGCTTCTCGTTACCAGACTGCTTCAGCGATGCGCCAAGGTAATCTGGCTGTGTCAGGTAGAGATTGACAATCTCCGGACCCTTGACGAACAGCGAATCGAACGACTCCCGCGCCCAGGCAATCGTGTGCTCGATTCGGTTGGGGAAACTCCTTAGTGTGCACATAGGGAACGACTTCTCAGGTGGATCTTGAGATGAAGAGTAAGACTCTGTGATGAACGGCAGGACAACCTGGGTGTTGCCCTTGGTACCGAGAGTACCGCTGTCGAGCAGAGGCTTGCGGAAGAATACACATCGTCGGTCGACGTATGTACGCGCCTCTACATTGTCCAGTGCATTCGTCACACCGTCCAGAGAATTCCAGAACTCTTCGTTGAAGATGTGCTCTGTCTCCGGGCCGACCTTGTCTTGCAGTGTCACGATCTTTCCACTGAGGTCAGGGTTCATGACCTGAACTGCCTTGGCGGCAGCATCGCTCTTTAATTTGCCAACATCCGCTGGTCGGAACAAAAATTGTCGGTTCAAATTGCTCTTCTCGATTTGGTCGTTATCAGTAACAGTGATCTTGCCATCAGGCCCAGTGCCAAGGCCCATCATCGCCCAGTTCTTCAACATCTCGCAGCCGATGGCACCCGCACCAACGAGGAACTGCTTGACGTTGCTGAGCTTCTTCTGGTATTCCTGTCCCAATACAGCGATTTGACCGTCGTAGCGCGAGCCAATCGGAGCACACTGCTCTTCCGAACGGGTCGTGGAGGTAGGGATTGACTCTAGCGAATCGAAGTAGAGGAACTGAACAATGGGATGGAACTTTCCAGACACTGACTTCAAGACTTCCTGAGCAGCCATGCCACCAAAGAAGGCAGCGACGGGACTGAGGTCACCACGAGCCTGGTAACTGAGCTCCTTGATGAGCTTCTCATCCAGCTCGACCTTCTCCTCGCCCTCATTTGCGATCTCTTGTGCAATCTTGAAGAGCTCATCCGCATCGGCTTCGTGGTGAGGACGTGGGAACTCGCCCTTGTGGAGGTTCGCAAACTTGTGGATGGCCTGGATACCAACATGGAGCTGTTGCGGTCGGTCGAACTTTGCGAAGTCGGAGATGAGAAGCTCGGGCTTCTTGAGCTGCTTGCTGAAGGGCTCGAAGTCGATGATCTTGGGCATCTTGACCTGGATGAACTGTCCTCCCTTCTTGTACTCTCCGAGGCCAGATACGTCGCCGATGGAGAAGGTATAAGGCCCCTTGACCTCAATCTTGCGAGGTGCACAGTTGTTGAGGCCCTCCATACCCTCAACTTCTGAGAATGTGACCCAGTCGCCATCCTCCAGGCCGTGTCTTGTCTCGTCTAGTGCCGACACAATACCCTCCTCATCAATGCCGGCAATGATGCCGTTGTTGACATTCTCGCCGGTCGGGTCACCGATGGTGAAGTTCTTTCCGAAATCGGTGAAGATAGTACCGAACAGTCCGTATGTGTCGGTAATGACTACGTAAATGCCGTTGTCGTGGCAGTAGTCTGCGATCTTGATTTGATCTTCGAGGCGAGTGTCGGTAAGGACAATGACCTGGAACTGCTTCAACTGCGACAAGTCTGATGTCAAATCTCCTCCGCTGAATTCCTGCACAGGTGTGTATGGGTTGAGTTCGGAGACGCGCGGTACGGTGACGGAGGCGCGTGGCTTGCCCACGTCGGCGGGAGTGAGGAAGAACTGCGACGACAGGTCGGCGAGAGCGGCGGGTTTGGGATCGTAGAGTGTCAGCGACTTGACACCGGCTAGGGCGATGTTCTTCGCAATCTCGACACCGAGACCTCGCAGACCAGCAACGAGGACGTTGGAAGAGCCCATGCGCTTCATAGCCTCATGGCCCAGGACATACAGCTGCCTGCTGTAGAGGGACTCATCGATGTCGCCGTTGTTACCGGACGCTTCCTTGAGCTGTTCGACGGCAGTGGCAGGGCTGTCGACCTGCATGTTTTCCTTGGATACGTTAGATTGGGGACGCAGAAGAGTAAAGTTGGTGAAAGGTGTAGAGTGGCGGAGACGCTGGAGAGGCCGAGTACATGGTTGCAAATGCGGACGCGCAACCGAACAAAGCGCAAGTTAGTAATCAATGGGGCGCACTTACCGCCATGGCTTTCTCTTTCTTGCTGGGACGAGCGTCCTCGTCGACGTGTTTCCGCTTCCCCAGTTTGCCGACGGTCGTGAAGGCTGGACGCTGTCAAATGTGGCGGTCGCGGGCGCCTGGCTCGAGTGTCGCGGGGTACCCAGGTGTAGACTGCTGTTTACGGATGTGAAGAAGGACAAACGAGATCAACAGGTTTGTCGCTGGAGTGGGTTGAGTGTAGAGGTGTAAATGGAAGAGAGGCAAGGGTGGAAGGCGCAGCAGGGAGGAGGTTATTACGTGAGTACTTGTCACGGCGAAGGTGCTGGAGCTCCACCTAGCGCCATCCCACTTTAATCTTGGCGCAATCGTCACTTCCGCATGGGCCTCGAATCCACTCCTTCACCCCATACCAGTATAACAGCAATCACCTTGCAGTCTACGTTAATGTGAAAACGAAAGCTCGCAGACTCCTGAAGGTGACGTAGACTCTTGGTTTATTAATTTCCATGGTCTGCTGAAGGCAGATCTCACCCCCTCAACGCTGGGCCTGCTTTAGATTCCGACGCGACTGCGTACTTCACAAGGCATGATCTCCACGTTGATTCCGACTGTCCGTCAAACGCACCTCACATCGCCATCATCAAATCATGATGTTTGCCAAAAGTCCACTTCTGATTTGCCGTCTCTGAGCCTTGCGTCGGTCAGCTCCGCCACACTACTCCAAGGAAAGCGCAACGATACCTACGCACTGGCGTCTGTCGCATTCTAGATCGTATATCTTCATCGATCACTTCCTTGCTCTAATTTGTCATCAGTCCATGCAATTCCGAACAAGCTCATCATAATACTCACGGTATGCTTGTCGTAGCCGCTGTTGTTGCCATAGAGACACCAGGCCAACGGCAAGTTGGAGCAGCCCAAACACGATGGCTGCGATGGTGTCCGCAGACTGGTTGTTCAAAGACATGAGTGTGTAAGATCAACAGAAACCTTGATCAAGAGTAACGAAGCTCGCGAGTGTCTACCGAAGAGAGAATTTGAAGGCTCACCTGCTATCTTATGTATCATGCGACATTGTACTTTTGAATGCGCAGTTCTCGGAAATCCTGCAAGTCCGCAGCGGTCAGAACCTAACAGCATGTCAGTTCTGGAACACCTGGCTGTTTTGTACTTTTGTATGTGCCGCAGCTCAGACGTCGAACATACAGAATTGTACTTTTGCTGGCGTGCCTTTGATTGGCTCAGTGTTCCACCGGTCGAGCAGAGAGGCGTTTTCTATGCGCATGCAGGCCGGCATGGTCGCTTACAAGAATTGTACTTTTGTCGCAGCCAATCGCTATCAACTGCAGCGAAGCCTGCTGTCACGGCCTGGCTCACATATAAACCACCGCCAGAGCCCACCATTTACTCATGAGTCTATAGGACGACGCTTCCTCTTTTCTCTCTACATTCGTGGAACAGTCAAGAACCCTTCTAGTTGATACCTTCTACTCGAGCATTACTTCTGGGCGATACACATCCCCCTTCTTTGCCTTTCGAAGATCTACACTTCTATGGATCTCGACTGGCACCTGATGCCGATTTCTGAGGAAGCAGCATCATCACAGCCTCCTCCTTCACATTCGAATTATATCGCAGATACACGTCCGCGAAAGAAGAAAGCGCGAACTCTCCGCGAGAGTGACTGGGAGCCATACAAAGACAGGATCATACAGTTGCATCATGTCGAAAAGAGACCGCTCCCGGAAGTCAGGATCTTGATCGAACAAGAGTTCGGTTTCATTGCTGAGTACGTTGGGCAGCCTGTCTCTTTATCATTGTACGGCGTCTAGGCTAACTGTCTTCCCAGGATACGCCAATACAGGTCTCGTCTGACCCAATGGAAGCTCGACAAGAACATCAAACCAAACGAGATGAAGGCCATCGTCAGACACCACCAACAGCGAAATATCGTCGAGACAGACAAGAACGATCTCAAGTTCCGCGTGAGAGGCCAAGAAGTTGAACTTCACAAGATTGAGAGGTGGATGAAGAGACACGACATCGGAGAGAGCATGGTGCATGCTCCCAGCCCTGTCGCTTGTAAGTTACTCTTGGGGGAGATACTGGCTACATGATAATGACAAAGTGTAGCAACGCCGTCTGCTGTGAGTTATGCGACGATGTCGGAGATTGGCTCTCCGGGGAGACATTCGATCCTTTCTCCTCACATCATGCATGATGCCGATTCGACAGTCACATACACTCCCACCAGCATCGACGGGCTGCGTATGGTTCAAGTCGATGACGAACACATCTTCACACTATTGAGATGTGACTTCGGCCTGTACCCTCACAGTATCCATGACTTCCGAAATTACATGAAAAGCACCCGGCGCCATCATGCGAATATAGAATCGTTCCAGGTTCTAGACTCAGTTATCCCGTTTGTACACATGTATGCAGCTATAGTCTTGTGCAGACACATTACACACGAAAATCTCGGGATCAGTTCACGAGCAGTCAATGTACCCTACAAGAGATCAAAGCCTATTGATCTGATCATCTACACCTGTTACGATCCCCATACCAAGACCGCCGGTGTTAGTTTTGTGGCTCAAGATGGGCGAACACAGACTTTGCTACAGCGCCCCATGGGCTTCGAGCTCGTGACGGGCAACGGAGTGCAGACGTGCAAGGTTGCTCAGGAGGAATCCTGGATGCACAGAATAATCAAAATCGATGGACTGCTGGGGTGGCGTGTGGTTATTGCTGATAGGCATGAGCTACAGCCCTTCACATGGCCGTCCAACGATGACGATGTAGAAAGGGCACAGTTCTTCAAGTCGCATTTTGGCCATGGCGCAGACGGGAAAAATATTGTTCGGACAGACTCGCTATGTATACTTCAATGAAGATGTTGGAAACCAAATGTAATATTCACAGTTCCTGTTAATTCCATTTCCATGTCCATATCCATTGCATTCATATACATCTTCCCCAGCATCCCCATTCCATATCTCATACCCACGCATACGCATATCCTCATTAATCGCATACGTCGAAATAGTAAAAAGTCGAAAACCAAAAAGGACATAACACATTCGTCGCTTCGCAGTCGTGAGCGAGCTCGCCTCAAACGCCCAAGTAACGCCAGTAGGGCTGACTTTGTCGAAGCCCATGTACCCACTGAGATAAAAACCACCCATGCCATAAGGTACTAGCACGAGGCTAGACACAAGAACTAGAAAGCAAAAAAGACTTTGTACAGTTTTGGAAAGAGATCGGTGGTCATCCGACTATCGTCTCGATGAGTGGCGTGTTCGGCGTGTATGGCGATCTGATGAACTTGCGCTGCCTGGGTGGTTGTTAGCACCTGTCTTCCTGAGTGAAATGCAAAATCGGGTTACTTACTCGAACTTGTGTAGTCGCTGTACATGTATGATGTTCCACTGACAGTGGTGCTCTTATCGTCGACCTTGTTGTCGTGTCTCCTCTTGAGACCCAACGCAAGCGCGAGACCACCTAGTCCAGCAGCGATACCCAGACCCTTCTTGCCGGTGCTGTGCTTCTCAGAGCCGGCGCGCGAAGGACGAGCAGGGCGGCCACCTCCGTACCAGGTGCGTCCGCCAGCAGCGCCGCCGCTGTGGTGGTGCTCTTCGATGTAGGTCTCCTCGTGAGTGTGCTTGCGCTTCTTGCCGAAGCCGAAGATGGCGAGGAGCGTGTCGAAAAGGGCGCGAGCGCAGCAGAAGAGACAGAGAAGGAGGAGCAGCAATATACCAAGGATAACACCGATAACGATACCGGCAATGGCACCGCCACTGAGTCCGCCGTTGCTCTCTTCAGTTGCGACGAGGCCGCCGCCTGCTGCGCCGGTGGGGATGGGTGTCTGGAAGGGCTGGGTCGCGGTCGGGGTGCCGGTGTAGGTAACGACTACGACGCCTGAGCTAGTTGGACGAAGAGGGGCACCGGGTGTGATACCTCCAGAGCTGCCGCCAGCAATCATCGCACACTGGCCGGCCTTCAGACAGTACATGCCAGAGTCGCAGCAGATTCCGCCGCAGGGGTTTTGCGAGTCGCTGCATGTGGCTGTCGCTGTCGCTGGTATGTAGGTGCTGCGCGTCTCGGTCTTGGTGAGAAGACCGACAGTCTCGACGTAGGTAGTCGTGTAGTATTCATAGTAGCCGCCTGCCGCTTCCGTGTTGGCACCACCGCCGCTGGTGTCGCATTGCGCCTGGTTGGCACTGTCGGTATAGCATTTTGCGCCTGAAGGACAGCACAACCAGCCGCCGAAACCGCAGGGGTTGGCGCAGTCTTGCTTCTTGATCAGCTGGGAGCTGTTGTGCAGCGAGGCGAACTCGTCAAAGTGGACGGGGTAGGGCTTTGCGAGAGCCGAGGGCAGGTAGGCGAAGGCGATCAGGCCGAGCACGGCGGGAGGAGCGTTGAGAAGCCACATGGTAAAGCGAGCGACTGAGCCTCTCCAAACGCAGCAGAGCAGCGAGGTTTACTGCGAACGGAATAGACAGGACCGTTTGCAGGAATTGGGGGGAAACGACAGAAGAAGCGCGCTGCAATTCGTAGATATCGTCCAGTCGGCGTGGGAGCGGTGAATGGGTGGGTATCTCTGCTGCGGGGTCGATCCGTTGGCTAGCGCGTCTTTCGTGTCTGCTGGCGTGGGTGACTGGTGCCGGCGTGGTACAGGATGCGAACCACGGAAAAAAGTCAGTGATGATTGAACTTGGGTATGGAAGTGAGAGGAAGGTGGTAGGATGTGTGTAATCGTGCAGGAGGAGGTGTGCAAGTAAAAAGGGTACACTTAGAATAATCGTGTGGTTGGAAGCCGCGGGAGAGGCTGGGGTGGTTGGGGACCTTCCAACTCCAACTTCAACAACACTGGGGTTATGCGCTTGCGGGATTTTTGAAACTTGGCTAGACGCGGTAGTGGGCACAGAAGTCGTGTCGTTTTCGTGATGTCAATGACTTCGCTATTCGTGAGGATGTGTGCTGTCTCACGATGATTCTACGGGGTGTCGTACACAGTGATGCTCAGCGCTCGCTCCGCCTCCGGTTCACCCAGCAACGTCCGTCGCGCCATCACCTGGCCATCCTACTCGTCTCCGCGCACGTTCACCACCACCACTCGTCATTGCAATTTCCCCCAGAAGGATATGCCCGTGTTGGCCCAAGCTAGATGCTTGGCCTTGGGCGGTAGTTCCTCAATCATTCTGCCTCGCGCACTTTGCTGGTTCTGCCCATGCAGCCTGCGACCTCGTGCAGTGGTTTGCCTTAGCTGCGAATAGCTTCTTGGTATTTCCATCGTCTTTCCGCAACATCCGGAGAACTACCAACTTGTCGTTTTAGGAGTAGATTCTAGACTCGAGAGTTCCGGCCGGCTATAAATATCATCCGGTACCTGCAGGGCGCGCGTGATGTGTGGGCCGCCTGCTACGTTGTCAAAATGGGGCCTTGCGTGCCGCACATGCCAATCACTACACCGTAAGTCGACAACAGGTACAAGCTGTGACATTCAACACTACCGAGGATGGAAGGTCACTTCTGACAGACATTGACAACTGGCACTTTCTTTGCCGACAGCTCTGCCACGTCTACCAGAAGATCTTCTCAGCCCTCCCTGTCCAGCCCATACTCTTGGACCATCTTCTCCGCAGCCTTTTGCGCAATTAAATAGGCCGTAGCCTGCGAGTGGTTGTTCGTCACGACCGGCGCAACACTCATATCAACAACTCTCAGGCCCTCCACTCCTCGAACCCTGAAGTTTTTGTCCACAACTGCCTCTTCATCACCTTCCTTACCCATCTTGCACGTCCCGCAAGCATGCCACACGGTACCCGCATTCTCGCTCGCAAACCGATCTACATCTGCGTCTCCCATGGAGTCAGGGCCTAGAACCGTGCGCACGATATGCGGCGCGATAGTAGGGTTACCTGTCAGCTTCGTCCATGTGCTGCGGATAGCTTCGCGGAAGATGCGGACGTCGTAGGGATGCGTAAGGTAGTTCAACGTGATGATTGGCTTGTCAGATGCGTCTCTTGACCGCAGGGTGATCGAGCCGCTAGATTGCGGATTCATGAGAAAAGCGATGAAAGTCATGTATGTGTTTCCTGCATCCAATTGTGTACCCGGTGGCCACAGTATCGAGTTGTTGATGAACTCGTACGCTGGGACTTGGTCTCTGCAAAGAAATTCTTGGAGGTCTGGCGGAAGCGCAGAGTACTCTTCATACGATTGTAAATCTGGCAGTTTGAGGAAGCCGCCCCAGAGCGACGAGTGCTGTAGAGCGAAAGCACCGGTCTGGTCTTTGGTCCAGGACTCTTGGGCTGCGGCGATGAGATCGGGATTGCTATCAAAGGCGTATTTGTCGTTGATTGAGCCAGAGACTTCTACCGTCATGAAAGTGAGAACGTGGTCTTTCAGGTGCTTGCCTACGCCGGGTAAGTCGACTTTGACATCGATGCCGAGAGCTTCGAGATCGGATTTTGGTCCGATGCCATTGAGAAGTAAGAGCTTGGGTGAGTCGATCGAGCCACCGCAGATAATGACTTCGTTGTTGGCCGACGCTGGGGTCCTATCAGTGCTCATTACGTCTCCCGTCGATCCAGATAGTGCACCTACCTTGCCGCCTATCTTCGAGAACGACTCCGGTGACCTTCTTCCCCTCCCATGCGAATTTCTCCGCTTTCGCATCTGTCCATATCTCAAGGTTGCTCGGCGGGTCCATAAGATGCGCGATCGCACTGGTACTTCTCCCGTCTTTACTATAGCTATGTGGAAAGACCATTATGCCCACCGGATTTCCCGAATTAGCATCGAGAACGATCTTCTCCCCAGCCGCAGCCAGCGCCTCCATCTGCGGCACCACGCCCTTCTCGAGCACAGGCGGAAGACCGACCTTTAACTGACCTTTCGTGCCATGAGCGTTCGTACTCGGGTCAGCAACATGCTTGTAATCCTCTGAGCCTGTAAAGTCGTAATTCTCGATGGCTTGGAAAGACTTTTCGACAGATTCCCACTTCCAACTCTCGTCGTCTACCAGGTCACTCCAGCGATTGTAGTCCTCACGACTTCCGTACAGATACACGGCGAAATTCAAGATGGAACTTCCACCTAGGCCTTTTCCCCGCGTGTACGGTATTGTTCTACCGTTCAGAGCGGGTTCGGGCTCGGAGACATAGCCGTGGTCTAGATCAGGTCGGAGCGCTTGCGCATAGTACCTATGGTAGGGTGCGTGGAGGAAATCACCAGAGGGGCTGCTTCCGGCTTCAAGGAGGAGGACAGACGGTTTGCGGGCGGAGTGGGATAGTCGATGGGCAAGAAGGCAACCTGAAGTTCCGCCTAGGAATATGTGTGTTAACATCGATTGATATGTGGCAAGCGAAATGAAGCTTACCTCCTACGATGATGAAGTCGTACGTTGCTACCATGATCCAAGCTTTGCAGTATCCGATGGGGCTAACTACTGTGTGTCGTGACTTCCTAAGTCGGGCGACCACCCTACTTTATATGTATCCCTCCTCGATGCAGGCGCGCTGCACCTCAATTCACGTGCAGCATCAGTAAGACATGCAGGCCGCAGCACATCTCGCTCTGCGTCGGAGAAGCCAATTGCCATACTCTGTACTTGATTGGTCCCGAGGATTTGGAAGAAAGCCAGGTGCGTGTGCATCATACGGATGATCTAACTTGGCTTGGGCATTTCCTTCGCATGTAAGGCAACTCGCCAAGCTGGATTTCAGCTTGCGACTGCGCGATTGCGGGGTATCATGGATGTAAGCAGCAGTGGGTACAACAGTTCATGCAGATCATAGACATAGCTCGAGGCTAGCTGAACAGGTACTAGACTGATCTCCTAAGACCTGCCTCACCACTCTTTGGGTCGGTTCCAAGGTTGACAGATTTCACAAAATCTGACGAGTATACAATGGGGATAGGTGATGGCTAAAGACTACCCTAACTCCGCTATCTGGAATCATCTCTGGGGATGACATCGGTCATTCTCATTCGACAATCGAGTGACCTCGTTGTGTGTAATCATTGTTGACATCAAACTTGCGGGAATGCTATTCCTCAGCCAGTCTGGCTTTCTAAAAACCCTTTTTCCGTCAAACGCAACCTGTGGCTCTCCAATCTTGGCCGAGGATGGGAAGCACTGCTCGGCATCGCGTTGGTTGGCTGAGCGCCCTTCGTTGTCGGCGCTTGATCCTCGCCCGGCTGTAGCGAGACTTCGATGATGAAGAGGCGAGAATCTTGCGAAACTGCGTGCAACTAGCGCGCGTAAGTCGGGGAGCGAAGCTGCAACAATGGCAAACGAGATTTGGATCGCGATCAGGATATTGACGGCGCTACCAAAGTATCTCATATCGCCTTCTCGTCGTTTGATGAAAGGAATTTGAAGTAATGCGACGATGCAAACGATGAAACCTAAGCCGAAGACGAGAACAAGGCCAAGCCGTTGCCGGATCCTGAGTTTGGAAAGCTGCCATACGTATGGGATCGGGAGCGCGAAAATCATGCTATCCACAATGCTGTCCCCTATCGCTGCGGAGTAACTGTATAGGGCAGAACTGAAGCACTGGGATCCAGTGAAGTCAAGCCAGTTCCTGGTCCATAGCTTGCTGATATCTTCGCACAAGACTATGAGAACCGTCAGGACTTCGATAAAGTGCGCAAGAGCCAGGACGATGAGGACGTAGCAGCACTTTCGGAGCGATGCCATCCCCGGTGGGAAGATTCGGAGGTAGTAGGCCAAGACCGAAAAACGCGTAAACGTAACGGCAAAGATGTACGCTACGCGGCGTTCGAAGATGTGCTGTTGCATGTGAGTATGGTGTGCCACAGGTACAATGGAAGTCTGACTTGGTAGAAGGGAACTTCCGACATTCGATCGGGACTGACAAAGTGGTCAATACGGCCCGCAAAGATCTATGCAGCATGCGCACTCACCCCTTACGATCGTAACCCCAGTTGTCATCTGCACTCATACAAGATATGACGGTACGTGCGAGAGCTGCGGCCTGATTACGATTAGCTTGAGTAAATTACAAGATTCCTATAGTAGCAGATTGAATTCGGGCTTCACATACCGTGCCCAAGATGATCAAGACGTCATCCGGCGCCATTTTCTTCTTGATCGCTAGCCTTGAGTATACTCTCAGGATAACGGTGCTCAAAGCTAGTACCATCAACGGCACCTCCACCGCCAATGCTGTTCTGATGCCTTTGGTCGCATCTCCAGCATTCATTTGGACCATTGGCTGTGCAATTGTGCCGTGTAACCTCTGATCGTCCGGTATTGTGTACATGGCTGGATACATGCAAATCGGTTCCACGGCGAGATAAGGATGACACCAGCTGGTTTGGTCCAGAACATGAAAGCAAAGTAACGTGTCATCGGCAGAAGAGATCAAAATAGAAAATAGAGGAAAGGTGTCCGTGGCGGGGCCACTTGATGCTGATGTTGGTGTTCGTACGATGGTCGCCAAGCCCTGACTTCTCCTCCAGCTGACGTGCCCATTGAAGCTTACTGAGCACTTTGCGTAAGCCGCCCTACCAATGAGGAGTCGGTTTCAGCTGTGGGCGCATACGACTGCTAGGCTGTGATGCTGACACACCTCCAATTATCAAATGATCGACGTTGCGAAGCTGCAGGGCATATCAAGTGCAAATTGGCGGTGCCAAGTGGGCGGAGCGGGATACGAGACGAGTGAAATTGAGTGATGACAGCGTAAAAGCCGACACGTTGGTTGCTAAATAGCGGTAAAGAGGCCGATCGGCGGCAACTGCGCTCAATATACCTCAGAAGACATCGTCAATCTTCTCTGTCTGATCAAAATCGTACGCATTGCCAAATGGCCTATTCAGATAATTTTTGAGCAGTTGCTCACTCGAAACGTACGTGGCCGCGGTCTGCAGACCAGTTTTTTCGGGCGACAAGCGTTCAGCAAGCTCTTCCGCCAGTTCGACTTCCATCGAATTTCGATACCATGGCGCGAAGTGTACTGTGAAAAGAAGTCAGTTGAAAGAACCTCAGACCAGCAAGGAACTTACTCATCGCGAGCATAACTCTCGGATCTTCGCTCAGGTTGGGCTTCCCTCCGTGCCAGAGTCTCAGATCGCGAACGATCATGCTACCTTTCTTTACGACCGGCTGAGTGGGTGGCCGAACCTCGCGACGAGCATCGAGCAAATGCTGCTTGATCCTTCCGCTGGCACGATCGCCATGTTCGCCTTCTTGATCGGCAATAGTGGTGCCTTGGTGTGTACCGAGCCAGATCTCTGTGGAGCCGTTCTCTGGCGTCATGGTCACGAGAGGAACGTTTACCACGAGGGCGAAAGGGATTGAGGGGTGATCAAAATCTGCATCATTGTGGATCGGCTGCGAGGCTGGTGGCGATGACGCAGTTGGTGGTAGTGCGGTGTTGCCAGAAATGAAGCGCAATGAAGGCCTAGGCCCAAGCGTGGTTGAAGTGACTTGCGTCACGATGGGATCTAATCCAAGGTTAGTATGTGTTTAGAGCGTGGCAGGATTTGCTACAATAGACACGTACTGGCGTAGATTTCGTCACTGAACCACTCCTGGGTCATGGGCGGATCTTGTTGAATGTTTCCTTTGTTATAGTTGAAGGGGCTGTCCTTTCTTCCCTGCAATTCGAGTGCATCCTGGACCATCTTCTTGTTCAACCGGTCCAAGACTGCATGGTCAATCATGTCTTCCAACACCACGAGGCCATCGCGAGAGAGCGCTCTGGTAGCGATCTCGAGGTTGCGTTGATTGAGCTCTCCAGCTTTGACTTCAGACGCGGAAGGCACAATGGAAATAGGTGTTGACGAAAGGCGCGGAGACATGGTGGGACGGTGGATGACGCAATGGTCAAGACTGGAATCGTACAAGGAGATGTGTACAACGTGATTGCTTCAAGTGCCACGGTACTAAGCTGAACAGTCTCAGACGTTGTGAGCTTTATATGCTATAACGATCTGGAACATGTAGCGGAACAGACGAAAGCGGTATGGCGAGGCGCTAAACCCAGTACAGGACTGCAGCCGTCTGTGGAGAACCTGGTCACAGGCTGCATGTCGTCGTGAGACGCATGGTGCGGGGAGCTTACTCTATGCTTCGAGTACACCAAGAGAGGGACAAGACGGCACCTCCACTTACGCGGGGAGTAGTCGACGGCGTGTGTTGATGGAGTAGACGATCCGACACTCTTGGTTTGAAGCTGGAAACGTTTTCCATCAACGCGAGGTCACGCGCCGTCGGGGTGTCGGCGGCATTTCGATAGTGTCGTCGGCCAGGGATGGGTGGTCAGCGGAGGCACAGCACAACGTCTTCGCCTTGCATCGCTGTGCTCCTGCGTGTTTGCGGATTCAATGTGGAGATCTCGAATGGGGTTTGTATCGAGTGTCGCACTGCGTCAAGACAGGTCCCTCATGTGCGCGTAATTACGTACAGTGCGTGCCGTCCACCGTCTAGGCAGACATTGGGAGCGCATGGAACTATGCAAACAAAGAAGCCCTGGACAGAAGAGGATTTAGGCAGGCACCGTGGCCCAGAGTCGCGAATCACAGCGCTGGCAGGCGGACGGTTGACCGGGATGGAGTGAGGAGAGATGCGGAAAGCGGCATGACGCGAACCAAGGCAAGAAGCCAGGGCCACCATCCCTCCACATTGTTTCCAGCGCCGGGTCCACCAACTCACCAACACACTCTAAACCGCCGCACTGTTTCAGCGAATATAGCGGTTATTGTGTACTTCTTTTCTGTACACGTTTCTCTTGCAGGATTATCGCACACGTCTTCTATACCTTTAATCATCACCACGCGCCTCTACCGCGCTCCTGCGGCCATCGCAGTCCACGGACCTCCATCGAACCACGGATACTATCAGCACCGCCCGTCGATCCGCATAAACAAGGCTCTATACTTCCACCGCCATTGGTAACCGGCAGTCTTCGAGCAACACACCAGCTTGACACTCTACGCATACGGCGCACCCGCCCATCACACGACACATACCACATCTACACACATCGCCATTATGCCGTCGCAACGTCGCATGAGGTTCTTTGGCATCCTGATTGTCATCACAGTCGTCGTGCTGTTCTACATGTCAAGAGGAGCCCACCAAACACAAACATCCGACTTTTACACCAAAACCCAACAAGCCTTACAAGAAAAAGAATACGCAGAAGCGGCGAAGCAGCGCGACGCAGAGAGCGTCGGATCGCGACTCAAAGCCGCCGAAGAACAGGCGAAGAAGAACGCCGAGGACAAGTACACAGATCACAAGGTCAAGGTGGAAGGGCAGGACCAGAAGAGTGTCGCCGGCCGTGTCAAGGTGGACGGCGACAGGGTCCCTGGCGTCGCGCAACAGGGCGGGAAGCCGCGCGATCAAGCAGCCATGATGGAGCATGAGACGCTTGAGGACCACGAAGTCGAGATGGAGCTCAATGCCATCTTGAAGAAGAGCCCAAGTACGTTACTCCTCGCTCATTTGAGCCCTGCGCAGTCACTAACTTATTGTAGTGATCATCTTCTCAAAATCCTACTGCCCCTTCTCAAAGAAAGCGAAACACATCCTGCTCGAGAAGTACAACATCAAGCCCGAACCCTACGTCGTCGAACTCGATAAGAGCCCAATCGGCCAACAACTACAAGCCTTCCTGCACAAGTCGACAGGCCGACGAACAGTGCCTAACATCCTGCTCATGGGCAAGAGCATAGGAGGAGGCGATGACATTGAAGAGCTCGACCAGACGGACACCCTCGTAGCGAAGGTCAAGGAGATTGGCGGCAGCCGCATCACCGAGGTTGAGCATCGCGGCGCCCGTCCGGAGATGCGACGGAAGATGAGGGCGTAGACAACTCTGCGCTGTTTTCTCCTGCTCTCAGTATACTTGCAGGCATTTCTTGCGGTGTCTCTTGGGCCCGACATGCTACCTAGTGCATGTTTTCAGGAAGGTAGAATACCCAGGATATTTGTATGGATGGACATCAGATCTCGATGGTCTGTGTATTGCGATGGATATACCCTTTATAGTTTCAATATCTTGTACCCTTGGTCTCAGTCGCACGTCTTTCCTGTCCCAGTTTCAATTCAATCCTTGCAATCTGTCGTTGCCAACCCGATGAGGGAGGGCCGCCTCTTCCTCGCACAGCGCTCTTTCTCTCACCTTAGACGCTCCTGCCGCTTTGCATACGATAAGCCATGTGCGAAGTAAGAGCCATTCCTCAACAGTCTCTCACCTCATGCACCTTCCATTCTTTCTCAGGCTAAACCAGCAGTCCTTCCACTCTTCCTTGCTTCTTCCACACGAAATCATCGCGACCTTGTCTTCCAATCTGAAGCCACGCTCTGACAACGCAAGTACTAGCTGGTAGCCGTGTCTACGCAAGTTGCTGACATTATCAAGGTCTCTTCAAGATGTGTCTCTACTGGAAGAAGCTGCACACATGTGGCCACCTCTCTGATCGCCCGTACATCGAGATGTGCCGTCCGGGCTTTCTCTCCAACAACGTGTGCCCCGACATTAGCGACGACGACAAGCCTCGCCCATCGCACTTCCCATGTTACCCTTGCATCAAGCTCGAGGCCCGCGCTGAGACTGAAGCCCAAGTCCGGTTCGAGCAGCACGAGTTTGCCAAGGCCTACGAAGCCCGCGAGCGCGCAGTGAGGGAGAAGCAGGCAGCGGAACTGAGGGCCAAGGAGGAGCGCGTCCGACGTGAGGCTCGCGACAAGGCCGCACGGGAGCGAGAAGCGGAACAGCGTGCGAAGCGCGAGAAAGAGGAAGCTGAGCGCAAGGCCAAGAAAGAGGGGGGTGCCTGGATCGAGACGTCGGTTGGAAAGAAGCCAAAAGGCAAGAGGAACGGCGCTGGCAGTGGCCCTGCCAACGCTCCAGCAACACCATTGAACACCGTATCGACCATCAAGATGGCTGCCGCACCCAAGAACATCAAAGAGCTTAATGGAAGTGCTGGAGGTGGTGAGAGGATGAGTCCCAAGAAGGGTCGTGTTGATCCCGGGGGTAGAGCTGGTACTTGGGGCCCCAAGAAGATCTTGAGCAGGCAAGAGAACGTCGCTGAGGTCAACACTTCCACAAGGAAGTGAGGTTGGGGGTATTCCGGACAAAAGTACGTGGTCTTGACAGCATGCTAGGTGTCAGGTTCGTCATCTGTTGCGTCATGCAACTTGCCAGATCTTAAAAGTTATCATTTTGTTCACATTCTTGCCTCACCTCATACTAGGGAAAAGATATGTTTTTCTTGGTAAGAGGTTGCCTCATATTCCTCACCGATTTGTTTGCCGGCCTGATGTTTGTTATGAAGGGCATGGTGACTTGCCTCTAGGAGAGCAGTCGCATTCGAGGATATTGTCTTGGCACTCAACATGTGCTCGCGTGCTCGCGTGCCCTAGGCGGTTTCTCGGTACCGAGTCTAAAACGGCAGTCACCGTGAGGGTGACTGAGGAAGGCACGCTCACGCGAGAACACTTTCGACCACCGATATCTTCCCACACCGATAAAGTTTTCTATCGTACCTCATCGTCTCGCAGCCTTCAGAATTTTCAACTCGCGACACTCAACAACACCCGCTCGACGAGCACCTCCCTCACGCTGGCCATAATGACCACAGAAACAGATCCCAAGGCATCCGAACTTGCCGACCGACCATCATCCATGGCCGCATCAGCATTTCTGGGCATCGCGTGGTTCATCTGCATCGAGTTGAACATCCGCCTGCTGTACAGAGCTACGCGTCGCAGCCTATACTTCTGGAGCTGCTTACTCTGCAGTTGGGGGCTGGTTGTCCACGGCATCTCCATTATCTTGGCCAACTTCAACAAGTGGACCTCTTACTCGGCCATCGTCTTCATCTATCTCTCATGGCTCGTCTTCGTCGTCGCTCAGTCTTTTGTTCTCTACTCACGCCTCGGCCTCGTGTGGAGAAACACGAAGAAAGATCGCTATATTCTCTACATGATCACTACTAACTCGGTCATCTTTGGCCTTACCACAGTCTTGTTCGGGATGATTGCTGCACGTCTTTCGTCGCAAGCAACTGTACCATACTAATTGATCGTAGCGCCACCCACGCTTCAGCGCACGACTCGAGAAGGCCAACCTGATCTGGGACAAAGTACAAGTCGCCGCTTTCTTCACCCAAGAATCCGTCATCGGATTTCTATACATCTGGCAAACATCGAAGTACTTCCAGAGCCTCGAGCTCCTCGGCAATAGTCGCCGCACCACTCGAGACAATCTCCGCAACCTGATCGCTGTCAACGTCCTCATAATCATGCTCGATGCCAGCGTCCTGGGCTTGGCCTATAGCGGTCGCTTCTTCATGCAGGGCTTCTACAAGGTCGCTGTATACGCTGTTAAGCTGCGCACGGAATTTACTATCCTGAATCAGTTGAGGCAGGCGCTTGCGGGTGGCTCGACAGGTGCGTCGGGATTTGCTGTGCAGACCGACCAGAGACCTATCGTGATGGCTCCTCTGAAGTCAAACGACGTGGTGGAGGTGGTTGAATAAGAAAACTGGGAAGGTGGGCGGGATGGACAGAGATACGAGAAAGGTGATTGGATATATAGCATGAGGTCGGAGTTATTCGGCGAGGCCATATGTCTTTTTTCACCTTGCATCGCACATAGTCTGAATCAATACAGCGATTATGCAACACGTTTTCGGGTTATCTTACGATAGTCGGATAGCTCTCAGTGTGTTCAATGCGTTTACAGAATAAATTTAAGTATCTTGAAGTACTACTGGCTGCATCATAACGCTGTTTTCGACCTGCTGACATCTACCGTGAAACCTCCTAGCACATCCGACCCAAACCCAATCATGCCTTAATGATACTCTGAGTCGCCTCAGAAGACACTGTCTCCTCCTCTTCCAAGCCCGAGCTCTCTTCTTTCAAGGAGAATTCAGGCGGACGTGTCTTCGAGTCCAACTCGGTCCATTCCGCAGCCTCAGTCATCTCTTGCTGGGACAACTCTCCTCGGATATCTGCGACCGCATCTTCTGTATCGACGAGATGCTTGATGTGGAAGATTACCTGGAGTGAGTGATTTCGATCCCAGTCGCCATGTAGTCCCTTCTTGGCGTGCACCTTTGCTACTGGTAGCCAGAAGTCCTGCCAGTTCTTGGAGCTCGTGAAGGCGCAAAGCTTGATAAACTCGAACGCTTCTGGGTCTGAGTGGTAATAGCAAAGACTTTTCAACTCGCCCACATCTTCGGATCTGGCTCTGCTGAAGAATGTTGCTGGTAGGTGCTGACACCAGTGCTGCACGATATTCTCATCTTTGAAGAAATGGTTCAGAGGCCCTAACATCTCTTCACGGTCGTCTTCCGAAAGATTCAGGGCTTCGACATTGTCACTCGGTAAAGTACCTGCGAGGTGGGTGTACCAGTGAGTAGCGGCGTACTTCCGAAACGCTTCGGCCGCTTCGGCCGCTTCGGTCAAAGGTTCGCTTTGAGGCTCAGCGAAACTAAGAAAACATTGCTGTAGTAGGCGAAAATGTAGCTCAGCGCTGTTGATGACAGGTGCATCTTTCACCCTCCCGTCGAGAGATTTGTCGCGGTGTTGAAGAAAATACTCAATGAGCGATGGGTGCGCAAAAGTAACAGTCGTCGTGGAAGGTGTGAACGTAAGCTCCAAAGCGCGTGCAGGATCGTGGACCTTGAGATGACTGAGGGAGATCCCATCCTCTTGTTCGAGATCAAACAGAGGAATGAAGTTGTCGCGTATTCTTTCACCGAGAGAGGTGCCCGTGCGGCCAGTCAGCGAGCGCTCGAATAACATGCGATCGAGACTTGCAAGAGTCCAGGTCCGGCCAGTGTGTTGGTTGTATGTTAGGAGTAGTATGATCCAAGACAGCTCTTCACGCTCTTCTCGTGTAAGTACATTGCTGTAGACCTGCAACAACAATGGGACCAGTTCCATGGGATCTTTTGGCGCAGTCTTCAGGCAAGCAGTGATATTAGATGTAGTGGGTTGCCGTTTGTCGATCTCGAACATCAAGTCTGCCCATAGAAACCTGCCCGAGGCCTGGGATAGGACGCTCTCTCCGATAGGGATCGGCCTTGTTTCATCAGCTAGCAACGGAAGGCGTTTTACGTCACAGTATGTGATCCATTTCCGTGGGTCTTGTTCCTCGGTTTGGATAGTGTTCGAAGGTAAGTCTATATGGGAAGAGTGGTTCATGATTGATGATTTGGTGTAAGGCGATGAGTTGTTATAACGGTGTAGATAGGTAGGTTAGTTGTGTATACTAGAAATTGTACAAGGTGTTGCTTATTTGCGTGTTGGGTGTATGTGTGCGATGTGTTCTAGAGAGCTCGATATTTCGCGGCGCAAGGGTGCTTATATAGACAGATAGGCTTGAGGATGTTCAATGTCTAGAACGTCAGCTGCACGTTCGCAACGCGTACACATGTTAAAGAAAAGACCGTAAGCAGCGAGCTTTGATCCATGGAATCGGAAAACGCTCATAAGAGCACTTCAGTATCCACGGAAGCGACATATGAAGCGCCATGCAAACACAGATGAACTGTCCTTGAAGCGCGCAGCAGCGATCGCGGATTTCGGTAAAAGCCATGAATTCGCAGATTCCGTATGGTACCGTTTGGTCAGCTGTTCGATCCCGGAGGCTGCTTGGGCAATGATGAACTGTGACAGTGACAACGACCTCTTTGCTGGGCGTTTGGACGGCAGATGTGAGCCGAGTGCGTCCTGGCGCGCTCGGTGAAGAGACAACGCTTAGCCGGAGAGCTAACAATGACCTCCATACAAGTCTTTAGGGGAGTCATCTCGTGTCAGTCGCACTCAAGCTACATAAATAGTGGTGGATACAATGAAAAAAGTTATCATGACGTGAGGATGTGTGCAGGTAACCGAGGCGGGCCATGCGATCACTTCAATGTTTCGTGTGGCGTTATCGGACTCTACACTAAACTACATATGGAAAGGGCAGTCGCCGATAACGAACCTAGGATCTCGAAAAACTGGGGATGGCGGGTCATGGCAAACAGAGATCTCGGTACCAGCGCCAGTCTTGTGGATGGCGAGATTGAGATTGGTAGTGGAGCTCCGCGGTGATATTGGAGAGTGGAGAGGAGTTTGCAGCAAGCGTGCCAGAAAATGACGGTGCAGCTGCTCCTCCTGCGTAACCCTCAGCCTCAAGCGGAGCCACTGGTCTAGGCACTGCGTAGTGCATCTCTGTTGGTATCCGTCCACGGGTGCATTTGCCGCCGCTTATGTTCTACAATCGCATCGCGAAGGAACGGCGAACCTATCAGACTCTAATCAGCTGAGCTGTTAGTGCATCTTGTTAGTCGCTGTCCAAGATTTATCGCTACACGGCCATGCCGAAGGAACAAAACCATGCAAGAACAGGGTCAGGCAAAGTCGCGCGACAAGGCTACTGGCTATGCCGTCATCAGTCGGTGGCACCCAATGAGATCGGATCAGCTAAACCTCTGCCGTCTTGGACATGAGGGCCGTTGAACGGACGAGGCTTGGATCAGCACTTAGATCGTAGCGCCTTCATCGCTTAGATCCGTTTCGCCAGTAGTCGACGGTAGCGTGAAAGGGCTACTCGTTCCCCGCGTACGTATAATACCTTGTCCCACGGTACCGGCCCTGTAAACTGCCATTACCACGAGGCGACTCACTCTCACCCAATCTACGCGCAATCACCTGACAATACCCTGCCCTTGACAGTAGCTTGCCCTGCCGCCGTCAAGATGGATGTCAAGCAGTCGGAGCGCAGCCCTGCGCACCTCAGCGATGAGGAGAAGATACCCGTCGAGCACCCCGAGAATGCGCGCGCTAAAGTCGAAATCCCCATCTACAACGACGTAGAACGCGTCGACCAAACCGACTTGTCTTTCGCTGCAATTCTTAAAGGCACAGCCGCAAACCCGCTCAACACCTTTGAGAAGAAGGCCGCCCTCATCAATGTCGAGCTCGATAAATTTGGAATGGGCAGATACCAGATATGCATCTGGTTCCTCTGTGGCTTTGGATACTTCCTTGATCTCGCCTGGTCACAAGGTGTTGGTCTAATTGCTTCTGCCATCTACCAGGAGGTGAGTTAGGCCAGACAAATCGGGTACCGTGAACTAAAGCATTTGCAGATGGGAGTTTCGGACGAACACACTGGAGATATATTTGCAATTGCTAACGCAGGACTTGCTGTCGGTGCGCTCGGCTTTGGTCTTGCTGTGGATATAATCGGACGCAAGTGGGCTTTCAACTTGACTTGTCTCATTACCTCCGTATTCGGACTTTTACTGGTATGTTCATGGAGCCGCGATTTCAATCATTGATAACTAATAATATGCCAGGCCGCACCCAAATACAACTACCCTGCGATATGCGCCATCTACTTCCTCGCCTCATTGGGTCTCGGAGGTAATATCCCTATCGATGCGACCATCGCGCTCGAGTTTCTACCTCATAACCGCCGCTTCCTTGTCGCGCTTCTTTCCATGTGGCAGCCCATCGGTGTCGCCATTGCCTCTTGCATTGCCTATGGCACCACCGGCCAAGCTAAATGGCGCTGCGATCCCGACGCGCCGGCTTGTCCAGACGTCGAGCCTGGAGTTGCTTGCTGTACCGTTGACAGTAACATGGGATGGCGTTACACTGTCATAGTGCTTGGCTGTATGACCTTGGCCGTCTTTTTCCTTCGGTACTTCGTCTTCACTTTCCATGAGTCCCCGAAGTTCCTGCTTGCGAGAGGAAAAGAGCAGGAGGCCCTCGACGTCCTTCACAGGATTGCGAAATTCAACAAGCAGCCAGCTCCAACGTTGACTATGGAGATGTTTGCCGCCATAGATGAGGTATCGTCCAATGCCACGTCGAGCGCACGACTTTCCACTGAGGTACCTCGAACTACCCAGGCTACCCAGGCTACCCCCGAGAAAGGCAATGGGCTTCAGCGCCTCAAGGGAATTTTCACCAAAAAGCGGAATGCCACATCGAGCGCACGAAACTCCCCTCGAAGTACCAAGGATACCACCAAGAAAGTCATCAAAGGATTCGGCAAGGAGCTTACGCGCCTCAAGGGCATTTTCACCAACAAGCTGACCGCCTTCACTTTCGTCTTGCTTGCGCTGGCATACATGGTAAGCAGCTTGACTTTCCATCACTATGCTCCCTACTAACAAAACCAGGGAGACTACTGGTCCTTTAACCTGGCGGGTACCTTCCTTCCGCTTATCCTGCTACGCAACAACGTCGATGAAGGCCGAGGAACTGTGAGCGACACCTATGAGCAGTACTTGATCATCTATTTCCCGGGTATCATAGGTGCCATTTTGGCTCTTGCGTCCATTCAGTTGCCTCTTGTGGGTCGAAAGTGGTCACTAGTCTTTTCTGCCCTCTGCCAGGGTATCTCCATGGCAATGTACACTCAGGTGTCTTCGACAGCTGCTTATGTGGGTCTGAACGCATTGGAGTACATTATGCAAACCGTAAGTGACAATTTTCGAACTCATCGTTTCCAATACTGACATGTGTTCAGTATTTCAATGCGGTCTTGTACGCGTCTGCTCCGGAGCTCTTCGACACTGTCTACCGTGGTAGTGTGAGTGGCATGCTGTCTTGTCTCGGTCGTATTGCAGGAATTGTCGCACCCTTTGCGGGTGCTCAGCTTCTGGCCGATCAGAGCTCTGGTATCCTCTGGCTAGGCGCTGGTGGTATTTGGCTATCTGCACTATTGATGTGCTTCTTGCCTGTGGAGATGAAGAACAGGCAGATGTTCTAAGGAAGTGGATCAAAAAGATCCCTAAAAGTCGGCCTTGATACACGCGATCGACCAAAATTTACTGATACCCCATGCATACGCATAATGCAATACAATTCGTACAAACAGAGACACATACTCGGAATCAAACTTGCCGCGCTGTACCCACACCGATCGCGTCGAATTCCGCTAAACCAGTCGTGTACTAGCTTGAGTTTGATGACGTATCTTGCGCCCCCAACGCTATGATGCCGTCGGCTTTGCCTATCCGCAACACCACCTTTCGTCTTGTGCTTCCATCCTGCATCATGCAGTTTATTGCTTTTCCTAAGCTTGGCGCTCTCAACCCTGCGTGCGGATGAAGGTGCCCTTTGATGTCTGCTCCGTTCTACTTTATCGTTGTTTCGCATGACGGATACCTTCGTTGGCAACAAAGTCGGACTTTCATGTTATAATCTTGCGGCGCACAACCTTGATCATGAATCTCGCTAGCTGCAATACCGGGATCTCACAAGCCGGCGCGCTTGCCTCGGAGCACAAGAGCAGCTATCAGCGCGGCAGCAAAATCGCGACATGTCGATCCAGTGCGAGCCAAGAAGACCTTACCAAGGGCGGCTGCAACTCGTATCCCATTTCACAAAAGTGTTCCAGTAAATCATCTTCTAGTTGGGAGTATACATAATCTTTAGAACTGTATACTTGTTAAGATCTGATAGTGTGTATGCAGCACAATGCGAGAAGCACAAGTGGAATTCTTATCAACACGTCTAATGGCTGAAATGCTTCCATACTGGCATTAGTACTCTTCTTGTGCTAAGCTTCTAGGACCACGGACTATTATCTGGCCAGGTTCTTCTTCGAGCAGTTTGATGCCCGTCATATCGTACTCCGCAGCCCTTGAGTCAAAACGCTCGTACCAAAGATGCGCTAACCTGAATGAGTCCAGTTTAACAACATCACTATCCGTGGTTGCGTGGTCTTCGTTTTGGCTCACCAGAAGCTCGTTTCTTAGCATTGAAGAGCCATTTCCAAATCGTGATCTGGTAAACGCTCTAAGACTCCGAAAGGCATCGATGCGATCACGAGTATTCCGTCTGCAGCTCAGGCGCCTTGGGACCTTCCTGAGCACTAACGGGAATACATGCGGGTAAGGCTTCTGGCAAGTGTGTAATGTCGCTATGTATGCAAGGACTTCCTCTTCGACAGAATCTGCCAGGCTCGGTTGCGGAGTAAAGTCTTCAGATGCGTCTTCTTCGGTACTAGGTGCGTCTGGCTTCTCTAGAGACTTGAAAGTCCAGTCTGAATTTGCGTCCCACCGGACGCCGCGGTCCTCATTGTCCCAGTCCGACAAGGCATCTTCGTTTTCGGCCAACTTTTCTACCGTTTCGGGCTCGTCTGGTATCAGTCCATCTGGACATTGCTGCAGAAGTCGCCATGGAAGCGCAAAGACCATGTTTGTGCTGAGGCGGTCCCACTGGCCGAATGTAGCGCAGCCTTTTTCGATATCTTTCACAATGACAATGTAGTCCTGGGCTGACATGTTTCGATGGATAATGATAGACAATGTTAACCGGTTGTGCAGATGCGTGATGGTCAAGAGAGCTTCTATGTAATCATGATTTAGCTTGAATAGGCCCACGGGGGTTTGCTAGAATGCGGTATGCACGAACAATGTGTTTTCACTCAGCTTGGAATGATGCTGATGACGATCGTGCGATACTCTCCGATTTGCTCAACATTGTATCGGCACATCTCATTTGGTGACCTCGAAGATCTGCTATCACGTCCGACTCTCAATAACCCTGGTATGAATGGCTTTTGCGGTAAAGATGAGTTCAATGTCGTAGCCTCGCCATAAGAAAGTACTAAGCTTTCATGACTCACATTTGACCGGCTGCACAAGACGTTGCTGCCACACACTACAATGAGGAAATTGAAAAGATGCACTGCAGTCTACGACAAGACAATAAATGTGAGATACCAATATTTAAGCGTAGTGTAGACTTCTAGATCCTTGACTTCCATGTCGTTCTCCGCACGAGGCTGATATGTACTTCTTTCCTCGAACAGGATAGAGCCACCAAAATATGTCGAAAAAGTTCGCATTCGTATTACAGGTATATGACGAGTTGTCAAAAAGCTAAAGCTCATGACGGGAATGGAGAGACACCACCCAATCTACCTAGTGTACCTCATGGAATACGCCAATTCTCTCTCAATCAGGATGGGTGAAGCAAGAATCTTCGTGGCTTCGCAGTCTGTAACGTGAAATCTGAATTGGCTTGGTGAATGTGTGGAAAAGCATTGGCTTCCGAACGCACAAACACTCAGTGTAACCTAAATCTACTAGGCTAAGCTTCTCGTACTCACGGCTTTCTTATAGACAAATCACACCCGCTCGACCTATTTCACAGCTATAGGAACACAACTTCAATTCCACGGTCTTATAAGCGCCCGTTCTCACATTATGTCACCCTGGAACTGTTCAGGTCAAAGCTGACCAGATGAACACTTATGCGATGCCCAACCTAGAAGCCCCCACTGCGCCTCCATCTCCAGAAATCCCATCAGCCCGAGTCAAAGATCCACCACTTCCACCCAGACGTCAACCACCACCTGTGCCAAAGAAGGCCATAAAGGCTGATAAACCCAATTGTGGCATCTGCTATCAACGAGTAGAGCTAAAGCCCAAAACCAAAGCAAACATCCATTTCAACAAGTGTTGGGATGGTCTAAGAGAGAAGGCGAAGGAAGCGAAGAGTCAGATTGTGAAGAATTCCCTGCAGGAAAGGGAGATTGGAGACAGCGACGAGATCTCGTTGGAGACGCTGCAAGTCGAGAACAGCGAACTAGATGAAAGAGAGGAATCATCCACACCGATACCATCATTCTCACCAGACCTGGAGAAAACATCCTGTCTTCTTTGCCACAAAGATCTGTGGGGTATGAACGATCTCGACGCCTTCGACCACCGCTTGATCTGCCTTAAAACACTCTCTCCAGCTCGCTGCCCTGTCTGCGAGGTCTCCTTCAGAGGAGTCCCTGAGCCATGCGATGACGTCCTCTCCTGCGAAAGTAGTGGCTGGCCAATTCATACCATAATCTGGCATTTACACGCTTGCCAGAACGACTGTCATACTTGCCCAGAAGCACAGGCCGACTGGACAGCCTTGATTTCTCGGCGGGCTGGTCTTACCGAAGTAGCGCAGAGAGTCTTCTGGAAGAATGTAGGAGAAAGAAAAGATTGGGGTCTGCGCAAACACAGGGACAGCGTGAAGACCAAGAAGAAGTCGGGGTTAGCGCGCGAGGATGGGATATATCGGGCAAAGAGCTCGCCGTTGCGTACTTCGCAGATAATCGTTCCTGCGCGCGCGTCCCATAGTGATTCGGAGATCGAGGTAACGAGGGTGGAGAAAGCTGTCGTAGCCGAAAAGATCCCTTTCGATCGGTTTATAAGGTCTAGCTCCTCCATAATGAAGCTCCCTCACTCCGCGAAAATGCGCACGGACTACAAACCTGAGGAAGTGCGAACGGAGGTACTGCCTCTCTTCGATTCGAAGACATTCTGGAAACAACTTTCGTACAAAGCGCAGACGCGATTGCTACCCAAGCTTGTACCTAAGCCACTTAACGTTACCTCTCCTACCAAGAAGAAACTACCAGTTGACCGTGCGCTCGCGGTAAAGTTTCCAGTCCCTAGCGACAAAGACAAAGCGAAATTGCAGCTTCGATTGTTGAGCAATCAGCCAGTAGCTCTCGCCCCGATGACTTCCGCGGCGAAATCAGACGCGCTTCTTAAAGCACCTCAGCGGCCCACAATCCCCAAGAACAAGGATGAACTCGACGCCTTCCAAAGGAAGTTGTTAGATCTGTTGAAGCCTTTTGAAGACCAAGAAAGTGTCACGCTCCCTCGGAAAGTGCGCCAGTTCCCAGAGATCACCCTGACTTGTCCAGAAGAAGAACCCGACAGTCCGCCTGCATCGGCTTTATCACAGCCGTCGAGCATCAACAACGCGACTTTCAGTACCGCTACTGCAACTCAAAAGCCCCCCAGAAGCACGTCTTCACTTCCGAACGAAAATTGGCGTAACTCGCCTCCCGGCGCTCAAGAACGGTTCCGTAAATTGATAAAATCGAATAAAGCAAGGCCATACTACGGACGGTCTCCAAGTCCGCGGGCTAAGCCAGATGTACTTCCCAACGGCACAAGGTCATCTCCGCATCCGTGGCCGGCCAGCTTTGGTGAAAGAAGATCCATGACTGCTGTAACTCTACCAGTACATGGTAGGCCAGCAAACCCTCTCCCGGAGAGCTCGCTACAGTGGACGTTTTACAGTTTCCAGGAACTTGACCAAGATTTGGAGGTCGAGACTTATGTGTACGGTCGGCGCGGCGCCATTCCAGTTGCCTTAAAGTCTAATATTCGTACTGTTATCGATCCTGCGCTGTCTGAGGAAGAGCAGATGGCACGGAACCGAAAGTGCTGTAGAGGCATGTTCGGGAGCTTTGCCGAGACGAGCGAGTAGATAAACAGTGTAGAGTGAAACGAAGTTAGAAGACGTTGTAAAGAGTCGGCGCTCGAGGCGAGAGAGATACAAGATTGGGCCGGGTCGCTGTACGAAGCACAAGGATTAGAGTGAATCGTGGATACATGCAGGATAGAAGAATCCTGACTCGTGTATAGACACGTGAAACTATGTATAGTTGAAGAATAACGAGCGTTTCATCATAACATCGTGACAATACTTCTGATAGCGGAAGTGGAAGAAGCTACAGGCATAGCACACCCGCGATGCGGCCTTTGAACCCGGAATCTACACCTTACTCTTCTCATCACCGACAACAAACACCTCGGTAGGCTCCACTTCGATCTCATCCGACGAAAATGTCCTTGAGCGGCGGAAGACAGCTTCCTCGACTGTGTCATATACCATCGTGCCTTTCTTATTGACATCAGCCACATCGCGGAGCTTCCACCCGAACCTCGCGAAGCGCTCGCGAACACGGTCGTTTAGCCCTACGAGTCGGAACTGCGTACTCTTCCCACCATACGCCTCGATATCTGCTTTCAGATCTTTCAAATGTGTAAGACCTGTTGTGTCGATATTATGCATGGCATACATGTCCAGCACGACACTGCGAATCTGAACAGGCTCTTCGAGGATCTCGGCTTTCGTACGGAGACGCAATGCGCGATCTTTGCCAGCGACACTCCAGTTGCGGTTTGCGTGCGCAGCCTCTAGCGTCGCCACATCACCGGAGTTGAATGTCTGGACCGCGTCGAGGCACTGCGTCTTGATGTGGTAGGCGTTGTAGAAGAGCATAGACTGGTGGATGCGAAATACTTGGGTATCGAGAGGAGTGGGATGCATACCGGATTGGCGGCCGTGAGAAGCCACTTCGATAGACGTTATGCGGTGAACGCGGTGGAAGGCCATGAAGAGGAGGTGGTAGACGATGTTGAATCCGACGGCCGTGCCGATCCCAACTTCTGAGGAGACAAAGAGGGTGAGCCAGAAAGCTAGCATGGAGGTAGTAAAGTCGACGAGTGAGGTGCGCCAATATCCGTAAAAGACTTTGAGGGGAACTACAATGTGCCATACTGCCGTAACAATGATAGCTGCCAATGTAGCTTTCGGTATCCAGTATAGTGCTGGCGAAAGCTTGAAGATACTGAGGATGACCACACCACCCGCAATCAAACCATAAGCTGGAGACTTGACACCGGACTCTGAATTGACCGCAGTCCGCGACATAGCACCTCCGACCGCCATGGAGGAGAAGAAAGAATTGAAGAAGTTGGTGAAGCCGAGATAAACTAGCTCTTGTGCAGCGTCGGTAACGTAGCCGTTCTTGCGACCAAAGGCTTTAGCGATAGCTAGATGTTCAAGCGCAGCTGCAATGAAGGGCGCAATGCTTCGGGCGAATACCTTGCCGATAAGTGCCGAGTCTGGCATGCGAGGCGTTGCAATCCCATCAGACTTTACCTTGCTGAGTGCCCAGACAGGATCGTCATTCTCAAGGTCGATGTCCTTGTTCACTGCGTACGAGATACCAGCGAAGAGAATGAGGACTACAGCACTACGCCCAAGTGCTAGCAGCCATATGGCCTTGTTCTTCTTGCCCCAGCGCTGTCCCATCTTCTGCATGAGATAGAGCAGTAGAAGGCCCCCAAGACCCACTCCGCATGTCGGACCGTCGTATTGTGGTATCTTGGCGAAAAGGTCGTGAATGATGTTCGCCGTACCGGAGCCGACAGTGATGCCGAATAGCGAGGGGATTTGGCCGAGCATGATGACGATGGCAGCTGCGGAGATGAAGCCGCTCAGAACAGGCACGGAAATAAACTCTAGCAGAAATCCTAGCTTGAGCAAGCCTAGCGTCATGGAGTAAATGCCGACGGACATAGCAACAGCGGAAGCGATGGCTTGCGGTGAGTATCCGTCTTGGGCAACATCTGCGATTATCTCCGCTGTCAAGAGACCCATGAGCGACGTAGGACCAGTAGACAGATCTGTGCGAGTCTTAGTAAGAAGGGTTGCAGTGAGTAGCACCGACTTACCCTTAGATGTGCCCATGATCAGGTACAGAAAGTTAGGCAGCCAACTCGACATAAGTCCATACTGTCCGGGGATTGTCGCAATCTTCGCGTACGCCAGAGACTGAGGGATGAGCAGAACGCCAACAGTGATACCGGCTAATGTGTCGTTCAGTAGCCATCGCGGGTTGTACTTCGGCAGCCATTGAATGATGGGCGCCTTCTGAAGTAGATATTGGCCTGTCACTGAAGGTGCGGCGCGGACGGCTTTCGTGCCATACCGTATCGTCCGCTGGAGGGTAGTATCAGTGGCTATCGCTTGTCGGCTTCCTTGAGCCTTCTTCCTGAGATACTCCATAGTGGGTTGGCAGATAGCAAGCAAAAACAAAGCGACAAAAGATGTTTTAGAGCTAGCACAGTGCCTCGTTGAGCAGTGGAGGAGACTTATTGAGGGTTACCCTAGAGCACGGCATATCAAAGATATACTCCGCACATCCTGGGCATCGGCGTTATCGACCACAAAGTAGCGTCCTGTCGATGAAACTGGGTCTCGAAGCCACAGCGCTGCGATTGAGCCTACTGGGTGGCCGGTCAGCACACCCACTCTCAACCGCTTACCCGCATGGAAACATGCTGGGAACGTCTAGACGAAATCGCGTCGAGGAACTGCCAATCATGGCAACAAGACGTCAGCATGTCGGTCCCGCGATGTCCAATGAGGAAGTGAACTGCAGCTGCCATGTCTGATACCCTGCTCAAGTCTCGACCTTCCGTCTTGGAGACCGAGGTGTGGGCGAGGAGGAGTGGAGATTTCGACGTAGTTGTGATTCGGCCTTCGTTTCGTAACACACCACTGAGGCGCAAAGACGTAGTCACGCTGTCAACACCAGCAGGGGCCGGTAAGATATTAGACAGGCGCTTGTCACACTGCCGATATGCCTAAGCAGAGGCAACCCAGGTTTGAGTTGCAACTAGCATCGCCCTCGGGCCTTACTCAAGCTTTTTGGAGATAACCGGATCGCGTACATCTGACTTAGTGGATTGGCAACGGCGAACTCAAATGGCGTGGTAGAGGACTCTTTGTTGAGGGACAGAGATGTTTGGACAAAATTACCCCGCAATACACCTCATCAGCACCGAATTAGCTTCCGTCAGCCACCCCGCGCAAGGCTCGTTGAAGCCGCACACTAGCGCCTTGAATTAAGCTTTGAGTCAAGCTCCACGAATAGACGGCCAAGCATCCTTGTCGAGTATCTCCCGGACGGAGCGTGTGCCGTGTCAGTGCAGCCGACGATCGAAAGCACGACGAAACGTTCGTTTACAACGACGACGATCATAACAGGCCCAGTCTGCATAATTCGGTAGTTATCATAGTGACAAGAAGTATGAGACAATTCGTGCATCTCGCAGATGGCATGATATGAGTTGTCTGGGTTTGGGTATGACTAGCAAATGTTACCCCTCAACCGATGGCGGCACGCTCTGAACATACTGGAATACGCTGCTTTGCCTAGGCGTTCCTTTGGTGCGCAACGCCAACGCGCCTCAGTGGCGCGCGTGGTTTGTCATCCTCGCGATATGAAAACATGGAGCACTAGTCGGACGTGGCAACGATTTGACAATGGCGTCGGCAATGCGTTCGTCGGAATGACAATCCGTTGTAGTCACATCGAGCATCCGCGTCAAGACCGAGACTCCAGTTTCCGATCTGTAGACAACTCATGAAACTGACACTCGGATAGCCTGATCACGCCAATGCGCTACAGATGTAAGTTCAGTACAGCAGACAGCTCTTGCATATCAACAATATTTCAGGAGCCTGCTCTGGGTACGCGTACATCTGCGCATGCATCCCCGAGCGGGATCAGTTCCCAGAAACGATAGATGCATGCAGTGTGACCGGCGCCCTTTGACCCGATAGGGACAAGCTTCAAGTTCGTGCGAGACGTGTTTCGCTAAGCCGTTTGGGAAGGTAGAGCTCGAGGCACTCTCGCGAAGGCTGTAGAGATGGTGTGTACAGCGATTGCCACGATAATGTTGCATGATGCGCGTTCGCTGCCGAAGATGCGTGCACATGACCACTGATTGCGCATGTTGAAAAAATGTGTGCACAATTCGTCATGACCTGGAAGCGTCAAACGTGAATGATTAGCTCCATGTCTCTACAGCGTTCCCGCATTCGTTGACTTGGCCATTACATGAGGCTGAACCCAGCGCTGAAGTTGGAGCCAAGAGACATTTCGTAGTCCAGCCATTGCGGACTCTGGACTAACCATGCTTCTCATGTGGTCTTAGTAAAAGCTTGAAGAGGCTCCGTTCTGCATCGACTGGGATATGTAGTAGGGCACAAGACATGGTGCCAATGTGTTGGGTGGTGTGGGAGCAAACAGCCATCATGCCAAGTGACGACTCTCAGTCAGCGAATCTCGCATAGAATCCGGACAAGGCCCCTTCGAGCGACTTAGCCCCTCCAATAACGGTGATATATCGGGAAGCCGTGAGAAGTCCAGCGGGCGATATGGCAGCCTGGACCGTGTGCCGACACCAACAGA